ATACCCATTGAGTCTGTGATGCTATCTAACCATCTCATCCGCTGTTGTACCCTCCTCCTCCTGCCTTTAATCTTTCCCAGCATCAGGATTTTTCCGATACATAATTTTAATACATAAAAATTACCATTTAGGCCACTGTAGTGTACTGTTAATAGCAGTAAGTATATTCAAATTTTTGTGTAACCACCCACACTATCCCTCACCAGGACTTGAGGGTTGAAGCGTTGTTTTTGTTCAGCTGCTAAACCATGTCTATTGTTTTCCTCTATTTTTTGCATTGATCACTGAGGAAGGCTTCCTTATCTCTCCTTGCTATTCTTTGGAACTCTGCTTTCAAATGGGTATATCTTTCCTTTTCTCCTTTACTTTTCACTTGTCTTCTTTTCACAGCTATTTGTAAGGCCTCCTCAGACAGCCATTTTGCTTTTTGCATTTCTTTTTCTTGGGGATGGTCTTGATTCCTGTCTCCTGTACAATGTCACGAACTTCCGTCCATAGTTCATCAGGCACTCTGTCTATCAGATCTAGTCCCTTAAATCTATTTCTCACTTCCACTGTATAGTCAAAAGGGATTTGATTTCATACCTGAATGGTCTAGTGGTTTTCCCCACTTTCTTCAATTTCAGTCTGAATTTGGCAATAAGGAATTCATGATCTGAGCCACAGTCAGCTCCTGGTCTTGTTTTTTGTTGATTGTACAGAGCTTCTCCATCTTTGGCTGCAAAGAATATAATCAATCTGATTTTGGTGTTGACCATCTGGTGAAGTCCATGTGTAGAGTCTCTTGTGTTGCTGGAAGAGGGTGTTTGCTATAACCAGTGCGTTCTCTTGGCAAAACTCTGTTAGCCTTTGCCCTGCTTCATTCCGTACTCCAAGGCCAAGTTTACCTGTTACTCTGGGTGTTTCTTGACTTCCTGCTTTTGCCTTCCAGTCCCCTATAATGAAAAGGAAATCTTTTTTGGGTGTTAGTTCTATAAGGTCTTGTAGGTCTTCATAGAACCGTTCAACTTCAGCTTCTTCAGCGTTACTGGTTGGGGCATAGACTTGGATCACCATGATATTGAATGGTTCACCTTAGAAACAAACAGAGATCATTCTGTCGTTTTTGAGATTGCATCCAAGTACTGCATTTCGGACTCTTTTGTTGACTATGATGGCTACTCCATTTCTTCTAAGGGATTCCTGCCCACAGTAGTAGATATAATGGTCATCTGAGTTAAATTCACCCTTTCCAGTCCATCTTAGTTCGCTGATTCCTAGAATGTTGATGTTCACTCTTGCCATCTCCTGTTTGACCACTTCCAATTTACCTTGATTCATGGACCTAGCATTCCAGGTTCCTATGCAATATTGCTCTTTACAGCATCAAACCTTGCTTCTATCACCAGTCCCATCCACAGCTGGGTGTTGTTTTTGCTTTGGCTCCATCCCTTCATTCTTTCTGGAGTTATTTCTCCACTGATCTCCAGTAGCATATTGGGCACCTACCAACCTGGGGAGTTCATCTTTCAGTGTCCTATCTTTTTGCCTTTTCATAATGTTCATGGGGTTCAAGAATACTGAAGTGGTTTGCCATTCCCTTCTCCAGTGGACCACATTCTGTCAGACCTCTCCCCCATGACCCAACCCACATGGCATGGCTTAGTTTCATTGAGTTAGACAAGTCTGTGGTCTGTGTGATCAGATTGGCTAGTTGTCTGTGATTGTGGTTTTAGTCTGTCTGCCCTGTGATGCCCTCTCTCAGCGCCTACCATCTTACTTGGGTTTCTCTTACCTTGGACGTGGGCTAGCTCTTCACGGCTGCTCCAGCAAAGCACAAGAAAATTAGAGATACCAAGGGAACATTTTATGCAAAGATGGGCTCAATAAAGGACAGAAATGGTATAAACTTAACAGAAGCAGAAGATATTAAGAAGAGGTGGCAAGAATACACGGAAGAACTGTACAAAAAAGATCTTAATGACCCAGATAATCACGATGGGAGATCACACTCACCTAGAGCCAGACATCCTGGAATGTGAAGTCAAGTTGAAGCATTACTATGCTATCACTTCGGAAGCATCACTATGAATAAAGCTAGTGGAGGTGATGGAATTCCTGTTGAGCTATTTCAAATCCTGAAAGATGATGCTGTGAAAGTGCTGCATTCAATATGTCAGCAAATTTGGAAAACTCAGCAGTGGCCACAGGACTGGAAAATGTCAGTTTTCATTCCAATAGCAAAGAAAGGCAATGCCAAAAAATGCTCAAACTACCGCACAATTGCACTCATCTCACATGCTAGTAAAGTAATGCTTAAAATTGTCCAAGCCAGGCTTCAGCAATACGTGAACTGTGAACTTCCAGATGTTCAAGCTGGTTTTAGAAAAGGCAGAGGAACCAGAGATCAAATTGCCAACATCTGCTGGATCATTGAAAAAGCAAGAGCGTTCCAGAAAAACATCTATTTCTGCTTTATTGACTTTGCCAAAGCCTTTGACTGTGTGGATCACAATAAACTGTGGAAAATTCTGAACGAGATGGGCATACCAGAACACCTGACCTGCCTCTTGAGAAACCTGTATGCAGGTCAGGAAGCAACAGTTAGAATTGGAGATGGAACAACAGACTGGTTCCAAATAGGAAAAGGAGTACATCAAGGCTGTATATTGTCACCCTGCTTATTTAACTTATATGCAGAGTACATCATGAGAAATGCTGGGCTGGAAGAAGCACAGGCTGGAATCAAGATTGCCAGGAGAAAAAGCAGTAACCTCAGATATGCAGATGACACCACCCTTATGGCAGAAAGTGAAAAAGAACTAAAGAGGCTGTTGATGAAAGTGAAAGAGGAGAGTGAAAAAGTTGGCTTAAAGCTCAACATTCAGAAAACTAAGATCATGGCATCCAGTCCTATCATTTCATGGCAAATAGATGGGGAAACAGTGGAAACAGTGGCTGACTTTATTTTTCTGGGCTCCAAAATCACTGCAGATGGTGATTGCAGCCATGAAATTAAAAGTCGCTTACTCTTTGGAAGGAAAGTTATGACCAACCTAGGCAGCATATTAAAAAGCAGGGACATAAAGTAATTAGCCTTCAACTAATAAGAATAAATGAAAAAAAAAGCAGGGACATTACTTTGCCAACAAAGGTCTGTCTAGTCAAGGCTATGGTTTTCCCAGTGGTCACGTATGGATGTGAGATTTGGACTATAAAGAAAGCTGAGAGCTGAAGAATTGATGCTTTTGAACTGGGGTGTTGGAGAAGACTCTTGAGAGTCCCTTGGTCTGCAAGGAGATCCAACCAGTCCATCCTAAAGGAGATCAGTCCTGGGTGTTCACTGGAAGGACTGATGCTGAAGCTGAAACTCCAATACTTTGGCCACCTGATGCGAGGAGCTGACTCATTTGAAAAGACCCTGATGCTGGGAAAGATTGAGGGCAGGAGGAGAAGGGGATGACAGAGGATGAGATGGCTGGATGGCATCACCGACTCAATGGACATGGGTTTGGGTGGACTACAGGAGTTGGTGATGGACAGGGAGGCCTGGCATGCTGTGGTTCATGGGGTCACAAAGAGTTGGACACGACTGAGCGACTGAACCGAGCTGAACTGAAGCCATGTCTGACTCTTTGCGACCCCATGGACTGTAGCACTCCAGCCTCCCCTGTCCTTCACTGTCTCCTGGAATTTGATCAGATTCACGTCCATTGAGTCAGTAATGCTATCTAACCATCTCATCTCATCCTCTGCCACCCTCTTCTCCTTTTGCCTTTGATCTTTCCCAGCATCAGAGTCTTTTCCAAAGAGTTGGCTCTTCGAATCAGCTGGCCAAAGTATTGGAGTATTAAAGTGTTAACTGGAAAGAGCCAGATACCTACTATACTGTCAGTGCTCAGTTGGTGTCAGCTCCTCCCAGGATGAGCATAGTGAGTGAACAGAAAAGAGTAGGGTTCATTTTCACTCTTAAATAGCCCTTGACACCAGTGTGAAGTAAAAGCTATTTTACCAGCTGGGATACTTGGTGACTGAGATAATTGATTGGTTCCACATTGGCAGAAAATTGTTAAGAATTAGTGTTTAAGTTTTTCTTTATGAAGCCATGGAAATAGTGAGATGTTCCCAGGATTTATTTAATACAATTTTAGACTGGACTACCAGGGAAGTCCCCAGACCATCAATTTGATGCCAGTGCTTGCTCATCAGATTTCTCTTTGATGCAGATTCTCATCCAGGCCACTGGACCCAGATCTTTCTCTGTTTTCTTGCTTGGTTTGTTGATTCAACTACATCTATTTACCAGTCCTTTTGGAATGTCACTTCTGCTTTGGCCCCAGCACCCCTGGGATGAGGGGTATTGAAACATTCTACTGGGGTTGTGTTCCTATCTTTGACTTGGACCATGAAATTGAGACTGCAAGAGTCAGTGGGAACACAACTTTGTAAAGCAACTATGTATGCATGTGTTAGTCACTCAGTCATGTCCAACTCTTTTTGATCCCATGGACCATAGCCCACCAGGCTCCTCAGTCCATGAATGCTCCAGGCTAGAATACTGGAGAGGGTTGCCATTTCCTTCTCTAGGGAATCTTCCCAACCCAGGAGTTGAACCCAGGTCTTCTACATGTCTCCTGCGAGGCAGCAGATTCTTTAACTGCTGAAAGCAACTATAGTCCAGTAAAAATGTTTAAAAAAGGGAAAAGCTAAATGTTGCTATTACTAAAAAAAAGAGTAGGTGGGTAGCTCTTGACCAGCGTGTGGCCAAGTATCTCATTCAGAGGTGCCAGTTATGGTTTTCCCATCCCATGCCTGTGACAGACATCACTAATCAATCATGGCTTTTTCCACCTATTAATCTTAGCTGTGACCTCACAGCTCTTCTCCAGATGGCACTCCAGGCAGCCATTACCAATCAGTAGCCGTTGGCACATGGGATGAGACATATATACCAGTCCCCACTCAGGCTTCTTGCCATGGTTCTCCAGTTCTTCTTGCAGCAAAGGTATGTTGTGTAAAATATGACAGAAGTGAATGAGTCAGTGGCCTCTGACTTCATTCTGGTGGGCCTCTTCAGTCGCTCAGAGTCACCTCAGCTACTGTTCTTCCTGGTGGCTGTCATGTTTATCATGGGGCTTCTGGGCAACACCACTCTGCTCTTCCTGATCTGCGTGGACTCCCGGCTCCACACACCGATGTATTTTCTGCTGGGTCAGCTCTCCCTGTTTGATGTTGGCTTCCCCCTGGTCACCATCCCCAAGATGGCCTCAGACGTTCTGCAGGGAGAAGGTTCCATCTCCTTTGGGGGTTGTGCAGCTCAGATATTCTTCCTCACACTGATGGGTGTGGCTGAGGGCGTCCTGTTGGCCCTCATGTCCTATGACCGTTATGTGGCTGTGTGCCACCCGCTGCAGTATTCTCTGCTCATGAGGCGCTGGGTGTGCCTGCTCATGGTGATCTCCTCCTGGCTGGCGGGTGTGCTCAATGCCTGCATCCAGACCTCCATCACTCTGCACTTCCCCTACTGTGCCTCGCACACCGTGGACCACTTCTTTTGTGAGGTGCCCGCTCTGCTGAAGCTCTCCTGTGCGGACACGTCCGCCTATGAACTGGCGCTGTCCACCTCGGGAGTGCTGATCCTGGTGCTTCCCCTTTCCCTCATTGCCACCTCCTATGGCCACGTGTTGGGGGCTGTTCTACGTATGCGCTCAGAGGAGGCTCGCCACAAGGCCTTCACCACCTGCTCCTCACACATCACAGCAGTGGGACTCTTCTATGGCGCAGCCGTGTTCATGTACATGGTCCCGGGTGCCTACCACAGCCCACGCCAGGACAACATGGTCTCCCTGTTCTACAGCCTTATCACCCCCACACTCAACCCCCTCATATACAGCCTGAGGAACCGGGAAGTGTGGACGGCTTTGGTCAAAGTTCTCCGCAGAGCTGGGCGCAAGGCAAAGTGATAATCACAGAGGGAGCTGCGGGTGTGATCTTAGTGGTCCTCCATTCCACCCATCTCACCGAAGAACCAATTTATGGTGCAGCTGCTAAGGCCTTAGATGCAAGGCTAAGGGTCTTCCCAGCTTCTTCCCATCCCTTGAGGAGTTGGGTTCATGTTTTCTCCCATGGACTTGTGGAAAGCAATAGTAGCAGTCCTGTATTAAAAAGAAATATACTTTTAGTGTATTCTTGCCCTATTTTTAGCACTATTTACATGAATGGAAGGGGGACATCCTTGGTGGCTCAGATGGTAAAGAAATTGCCTGCAATGCAGGAGACTCAGGTCCCATCCCTGGGTCGGGGAGACCCCTTGGAGAAGAGAATGGTTACATACTCCAGTATTCTTGCTTGCAGACTTCCATGGACAGAGAAGCCTGGCAGGCTACAGTTCATGGGGTCACAAAGAGTCTGACATGACTGAGTGACTAACACACATGCATGAATGGAAGACCCTACTTTGTAAACTTGAGATTTCCTTGTTATTGAATTGATAATTATACTAGTAATAATTAACGCTTTTGACCAACTGATCTACTGAGTAAATGTTATTTTGCCCTCATGACAGCTTTTGAGATGTAGTGACTATCATGTGTTATGTGTAAGAAAAAAGACTGAAAAAGGGAAAATAAGTCATCAGTGGTCACACTTCCAGAAAATGGCACAGCTGGGCTTGAACTCATAATGTTCTGATGCCAAACTATTGTGCTATTTGACTGCCAAGCAGTGATCTGTTACCTGCCATAGGTGTGTGTGCATGTGTGTGTGTGTTTGTATAAAGATGGAAAACCATGCATATCTTAAAAAATGAAATATGGAGGTTTCATTTGGAAGCTTAAAAAGAAACTCCATCTTTGCTCTTAAGCCCAGCCTTGAAAACAGTTGTAAACAAGAGCAACTGAAACAAAAAAAGCCAAAGTGTAAATATTGAACACAAATCATTAGTCTGCTTCATGTTCATTAGACATTCAAACTTTATTTTGTCCTTGGTTATATAGCTAAAATAAGTGCTTGATTTTTAAAAATAGATTTAAAACTATGTATTTCCTAAAGAAATAATATTTGCTTTTCTCTTTATTCCTTCCTGCTTTCCTTGATATTCTTTTGTTCTTTTAAAAAGTTTCTTCATTTTAAAAATTAAGTTAAATATTTTCATGAGTTAACAAATGTTTTTTGTGAAATATTCCTTCTCAATTAATGTATTATGTATTTTCCAGTGATTTCAATATGATAATTCTATGTATTTGGGGGGCCATTTTTTTCAGTGTTTAAAAAGCATTAAAAGACTTGTTGGTAAAAACTTGTTTCTTGTTTTAATATACTTTATTTATTTGTTTGATATGGACCATCTTTAAAGTCTTTATTGAATTTGTTACAATACTGCTTCTGTTTTATGTTTTGCTTTTTTAGGCCACGTGGCATGTGGGATCTTAGTTTTCCAGGCAGGGATCGAATCTGAGTCCCTGCATTGGAAAGCAAAGTCTTAACCACTGGACTGCCAGGGAAGTCCATTGATGTATTTTTTTAAAAACTTACTTTCGATTGGAGGATAATTGCTTTACAATACTTTACTGGTTTCTGCCCTACATCAACATGAATCAGTCATAGGTATAAACATGTCCTCTCCCTCTGGAAGGTCCCTCCCATCTCCTACCCTATCCCACCCCTCTAGGTAGTCACAGAGCACTGGCTTGAACTCCCTGCAGTACAGAGAAAATTCCCACTGGCTATCTATTTTGCATATGGTAATGCATATGTTTCCATGCTCCTCTCTCAATTTTTCCCATCCTCTCCTTCCCCCACTGTGTTCACAAGCCTGTTCTCTATGTTTGTGTCTCCACTGTTGCCCTGCAAATGGATTCATCAATACCATCTTTCTAGATTCCATATATATGCATACTTTTAAAATTGAACTATAGATCACATATAATATTATGTTAGTTTTAGGTGTACAATATAGTGATCCAACAATCAAATACACTACAAAATGACCACTGTGAGAAGTTCCTTAAGCTCTCACTCTACAAAATTATTAGTGTTATTGACTGCATCTCTTGTGCTATTTATTATATCCCCATGACCTACTTATTTTATAAATAGAAGTTTGTATTTCTTAATCCCCTTCACCTAGTTTGCCCAACCCCCAACCCCCTCCCTCTGGCAACCACCAGTTTGCTCTGTTTCTGCTATGTTTGTTTTGTTCTTAGATTCCACATATCAGTCAGATTATACAGTATTTGTCTTTCTCTGTCTGACTTATTTCACTTAGCATAATACTCTCCTGATTCATCTGCATTGTTGCAAGTGGCAAGATTTCATTTCTTTTTGTTGCTGAGCAATATTCCATTTTATGTACATATCACATCCTCTTTATCCATTCATCTATTTAAAAAATATTTTTAGATTTTTAATTGGACCATAATTGCTTTACAATGTTGTGTTGGTTTCTGCCATACAACAGCATGCTATACAACAGTCATAATTTTAGTTCAGTTCAGTTCAGTTGCTCAAGTCATGCTGACTCTTTGCAACCCCATGAATTGTAGCACACCAGGCCTCCCTGTCCATCACCAACTCCCGGAGTCCACCCAAACCCATGTTCATTGAGTCGGTGATGCCATCCAACCATCTCATCCTCTGTCGTCCCCTTCTCCTCCTGCCCTCAATCTTTCTCAGCATCAGGGTCTTTTCAAATGAGTCAGCTCCTCGCATCAGGTGGCCAAAGTATTGGAGTTTCAGCTTCAGCATCAGTCCTTCCAGTGAACACCCAGGACTGATCTCCTTTAGGATGGACTGGTTGGATCTCCTTGCAGACCAAGAGACTCTCAAGAGTCTTCTCCAACACCCCAGTTCAAAAGCATCAATTATTCTGTGCTCAGATTTCTTTATAGTCCAACTCTCACATCCATACGTGACCACTGGAAAAACCATAGCCCTGACTAGACAGACCTTTGTCGACAAAGTAATGTCTCTGCTTTTTAATATGCTGCCTCGATTGGTCATAACTTTCCTTCCAAGAAGTAAGCGTCTTTTAATTTCATGGCTGCAGTCACCATCTGCAGTGATTTTGGAGCCCAGAAAAATAAAGTCAGCCACTGTTTCCCCTGTTTCCCCATCTATTTGCCATGAAGTGATGGGACCAGATGCTATGATCTTAGTTTTCTGAATGTTGAGCTTTAAGCCAACTTTTTCACTCTTCCCTTTCACTTTCATCAAGAGGCTCTTTAGTTCTTCTTCACTTTCTGCCATAAGGGTGGCATCATCACATATCTGATATTATTGATATTTCTCCCAGCTATCTTGATTCCAGCTTGTGCTTCCTCCAGCCCAACCTTTCTCATGATGTACACTGTATATAAGTTAAATAAGCAGGGTGACAATATACAGCCTTGATGTACTCCTTTTCCTATTTGGAACCAGTCTGTTGTTCCATGTCCAATTCTAACTGTTGCTTCCTGACCTGCATACAGGTTTCTCAAGAGGCAGGTCAGGTGGTCTGGTATGCCCATCTCATTCAGAATTTTCCACAGTTTATTGTGATCCACACAGTCAAAGGCTTTGGCAAAGTCAATAAAGCAGAAATAGATGTTTTTCTGGAACTCTCTTGCTTTTTCAATGATCCAGCAGATGTTGGCAATTTGATCTCTGGTTCCTCTGCCTTTTCTAAAACCAGCCTGAACACCAGCCATAAGCATACATATATCCCCTCCCTTTTGAGCCTCCCTCCCATCCTCCCTCCATTTGCCTACTGATAAGACATTTAGAATGCAAGTTCAAAAAAACTAAGTAATTCCTGAGCCGAATTATCCTGTAGACTTTAATAGAAAATGAAGAAATATTATGGTAAATAAATATTGACATTTGCCATGAAAAGGAAAGATCATGATAGACGTTGCAATAGATGTGGGTGAAAGTTTAGTCTGTCTTTCTCAAGTACCACCCCACTCTTCTCTTCTTTGGGACCAATGTAGCCTGTCTCATTGTGTTTTCAGGGCTCTTTCTTGGTTCCTCTCTCTGCCTCCCTGGTAATCCTATTGGTCCTCAAGGCCAAAGTCAGTCTCTTCTCTTACTTCTTCACCATATGCATCTGACTCTTGCTATCCCCTGAGGTTACCTGTTTCTTGCAGACAGGCTGTGAGAGATCCCAGCCGGTTCCTGGACTCCTCTATAGCTGATATGGACACCACCGGGGGTGTCAGGGCTGGTGTGCACACGCCTACCCATCCTTAGGTTGGTCCAGACTTTCAGCTGAACTTCTTGGTGGAATTGTTGTTAAGGCATTAGTAAAATCCAAGGGACTTTCACCTTCTTCATGGCTGCAAGTAGGAGTCCCTGCGTTCTCTTGTTTTCCAAGGTCTCCTCCCTTTAGCTGTCACCTGAACTCACTGTCAGCCTGGAAAGCTATTCTAGTCACTGACCTTTGGAATATGCAGCTGACCAGTATTCTTCTTTTTTAAAAAATATTTTTATACTTATTTACTTTCGGCTGTACTGGGTCTTTGTCGCTGCTCAGGCTTTTCTCCAGTTGCGAGGAGCTGGGGCTACTCTCTAGCTGCAGTACTTGAGTTTCTCACTGAGTTGGTCTTTCTTGTGGAGCACAGGCTCCAGAGCACAGGTTCAGTAGTTGTGGTGCATGGGCTTAGCTGCTCTAATGTATGTGCGATCTTCCTGGACCAGGGATTGAACCCACGTCTTATGCATTGGCAGACGGATTCGTAACCACTGGACCACCAGGGAAGCTCTGGTCAGTCTTCTTGAGTGTCTAGAGCTTCCTCCAGTTTTCTTCTTGGCCTGTTTCATGGTCTCACTGCTTCCTCTGTGAAGTTGGTGTGGAGCCCTATACCATGGTCACAGGTGTGGAACTTTGTACCAAGGTCACAGGACAAAAATCTCTGCAATTAACCAAGCCCCATAGCAAATGTTGTCATGAACATCCTGATCTAAACCAGCCAGTTCTCTGATCTTC